AGTACTCTTGTTTCATTGTCTGCCGTCTCTGATGTATAGATGTAGTGATTTATCAAAAAGATAGTGGTGAAGACTGGTGATTGTGGTGAAAAGGAGATAGAGATTAAAAGATTAGTCAAGAGAGAAACGTAATTGTGACTACATTCTTTAGATTTGCGAAGAACATCGCCAAGGTGCTTTCTTACCGACTCATATGACATGTCAGGTGAAGTTGCACTGTTTAAGTCATTTCTTTTTCCTTTGCCTTCCATTATCTATTCTTCTGATGAAGGTGCGATTTAGGTGACCGGTCGACCATGTTGTATCCAGATGCAAGGACAGTGCCGCATCGCAACACGAGAATACTGCAATTTCGTCAAAGGTCATTTTCATGAGAACGCTACCCTGTGCAGTCAGGTTGGTGTATTTTGTCTTTTTTAGAACATAATGCTTTTTTTTCAACGATAGTATGTAGCATTTTTTTCGCTTGGTGTTCTGCTGTGGATAGCATGAAACTGTTGAGAATCAGCACTTTGGTTTGTTGTTGCAGTGATCAACGCATTGATAGTTACGGCATAGCTGTGTGCGAAATTAAATGTCTAGGTTAATTGCTTCTCCGATATTTGTGGTATGCTCCCGTTTGTACGAAAAGATTATCCAGATCAATTCTATCGCATGTTGTTTTCGCTATTTCTTCACGCTGGGTTCGTCAATCATCGTTTTTCTCGAATTTTTCCGTACTGAAATCGTTTTTTTATGGTTATAGTACCTTTCTAGACTTCTAATTAGGGGGAATTTTCCAGCATTATCCACGTCGCTTTCACGGTTTTCGTTCAAATGTGGTTGATGGTTGATCTTGAGATGTTGATAGGATGGAAAAGGATGGCGATTCTCTATATAGGGTCTGGCATCGGAGGAAATATTGCCAGTGCTATCTTTGTTCCGTACAGTGTGAGTGACTTATTCACCGCTTATATACACACCAGTCGGGCCGCCCGGCTAACGCCAGGCTTTCCTCCTTCTTATGATGTCGCGCGGCTTCGCCGGGCGGTCCTCGTTCCTGTAAGAAACTTGCTAAATAACTCTTCACATTCTCCTTTTACTTTGGAAGCTCTTCACCCTCAGTGTTAGCTTCGTATTGTGAGCGATTTTTTCTGTAAGCCAACTTCGCTGTGTCCGGTGAGAACATCGTATAATATCACAGAGGCGATTATCCAGAGAAAAAAAAAGACAGATAGGCTATGGAAACGTACCTCCGTGGAATTTTCGTGCAATTGGAATACTTTGAACGCCCTATGGCCAGATTGTGAATTCTCGCGCAAAGCCCGCCCTTGTGGGCGAGGTCCTTTCCTGTTACCTATACTAAGTGTTCCCATCCTGCCGCCTATACTCCTACCAAGTTTGAACGCTCTAGGTGCACGGGGACAGAAGTTATGAATTTTCGCTCAAACTCCGTCCATTGTGGGCGGAGTCTGATCTTGCCACCTACCATAAGTGTTCTGATCCTGCCGACCATACTCCTACCGAGTTTGAGTGCTCTAGGATCACGTGGACATGAGTTCTGAGTTTTTGCTCAAACATTTATTTCTCACAAACCCCGCCCCCTATGGGCGGAGCTCGGTCCTGCCACCCAATAAAAGTGTTCCCATCGTGCCGCCCGTGCTCCTACCAAATTTGAACCACGGAGACCGGAGTTATGAATTTCCGGTCAGACACACACACACATACACACACACACAAACACACCAACAGACACACTTAGCCGATTATATAAGTAGGATGTAGTTCCCTCTTGCCCGCAATTTGACGTTGTTGAAATTTATCTTGGCCTTTCTACATCTCTCCATTAATGGACGTTGGATGAGTGCACCATTATCGGTTAGTGATTGTTTATATTGATTTCTTTTCAGCCTGAAGTGGGCCCTTCTGGAAGCCATTTGGGAATAATGGCTGCGCTGGTTGTTGATCTGCACCACCACAGGTTTGTATTCTTTGAGAAAGAATTGGCTTTTTTACATCGTTGAGTGTCCCTGTTACATCTTCATAGCAACTTGATTCAAGATCGATTATGTGAGGCATATCGGAAACTCCTGGCTCTTTTGGAATAAAATAGGTGAAATTCAAGTTGGCCATCCCAAATCTGAACGCTTCGGTACAATAGAAAAGAAGATATAAATTTCTGTTCAAGTCCACATACGACAAACTTTGTGAGCGCCTCGCCCGTCATGAGCTGAGTCCTGTACGTTTAGAGGCATAGTTCACGTTGATTTGGGTTGTCCAGATTATGACGAAAATTGAAAGAGAAGGTGGAGAATAGTACGATGGAAGCGATGAAAGCACGAGAAGCTGTTTCCAATGAGATAAAGGTTTGACTATCCGTTAGAAACGGAATACGGAGGAAATGGATGAACGGGAGTAAATCAATAAATGGGGGGACGAAACATTCACCCAGAACTGGATGGAAGCGGCAAACTGCGCGGGGAAATTTCTGGTGATCAAAATGACTCTGGCTCCTATCATTGGGGCCCGAATTTGAAGTGGGATAGATAAGTAGCATCAGCTGACCGTACTTATCCAATCTACTTGAAACCCGTGCCCCAATGATAGGCGCCAAAAAACACCACGAATTTCGCCGCGCGATTTGCCGCGTCCATCCAGTTCTGTGTGAATGTACCCATACCCCAATAAATGACGTAGAAGGGGTGTTTGGACGAGCTACATGTGTGTGATTGCGTACAGCTGACTAAAATAAGCAAGAATGTTGATTCATCACATTCAAAATCATATATGTTGACAAAAAAGCGATTAATAGCAGTAATAACTCACCTTTTTTATCCTCGTAAGAACGAAAACTTGAGAAGTGACCGCAACAGCAAAAAGAATGACAGAGAATATTAGTAAGAGTAAAACATATCCTCACCACTCGGCGATCAGCTGTTGCATGCTGAACGTGTGTGCCTTGG